AGTACAATAAGCCAGGATCTATCATATTCCTGAAGCAATGGTCCGATAAATCCCTCTCTGGCCATTGCTGGATTGGCTTCTGAAACTTGAGCTTTTGAGGGAGTGTGTTTATTCTTCCCCTTCAATCAAATCTATCCCAAGTACAGCAACATGATATCCTTTCGTTTAATCTAGGGTCTTCCCTAAAACTTTGGACGGTGATTTAAGGTATTAAAAAAGGTTAAATTATTGTTCGTCTTCAAGCTGTATTTTTTACATTTTATTTGTTTTGATAACCTCGTTTGTCACGCAATTAGTTTTTCCGCAATATGCTGCTATGCACAGGTTAATTGGGCATAATAAAATCGCGAGTCATGACGTGACGTTATTTAACATATTTGGTCCAATTTGGAGCTCTCTTTAAATCGTAATGATATTGTTACGCAGTTAGCTATTGGTTGTTAATTGAACTATTGACCAGTCATAACGTGGAACAGAAATTTGCTTCCTTTATAGCAGTGTTAAGTGGGATTAGGTATAATAAAACGAAATACTGCTAGTAGTATGGGAACTATTGACTTTGCAAACTTATATTATCAAAGAAAAAAGGACAAAAGCCCAACAAAATACATGTAGCCCTGTTTCGATTAAATTTCCGGGCCCCAAATTCTAAAATCTAAAGCGGCAATTCCCATCCCTTTAGAATGTTTCATCAGAAAATAGGGTTTACGTCCACTCGACACAAACTATGTCATTTCGGGAGTAATGGTTCAATTTTCTTTGATTACTTCCATTTACGCGAAGGGTCTTTATCAGTGGGAAGAAACCGGGCTATCCGGAGAAAACCCACGAGGTTGGACAAGCGACCCTGCTCCTTGTAACGTACAAGCTGGGAACCGAAAGCACACCAGTTAACTCAATGACAGGCCCTATAATTAAAAGCGCATCAGTTAGACCATTCCTACAACAGGAAAGGATTGTCACTATTTATTAGGGACCCACGGTGGCTCAGTGACTAAGACGTTGTCTCACTAACATGTAGTTCCCTTCTTTGATCCCGGTGTTGAGGAAGAAAGTCCATTGGCATTTTCTGTCACGGTTCTCTTATATCAGTGGTGCGGGACAAAGGGCCTGACAAGGGACAACTTTTATAGTCGATCGGATAGGACTAAAAATTGAGGCCCCTTGTACACATTGGTGTGCACGTAAAAGAACCCATGGTAGTTGGAATTCGATATAAGGCAAGGCCGTAGCGCCGCTGTCCGGGTACAATTTCCCCCCATAGCACACCGTATGGCATATGCCCGTAATCCTATTCCATTTCATTTCACTTCATTAATCATTAGATAAAAAAAAGGGTTTTGTCTAGGTAATTACAACCGAAATAAAATTTATCTAAGATTTCACTTTAAATTATTTCAGATCTATCATCAAATTATATGGAACTATTGTATTCAGACATAGCAGCACCAGTTGGATTAACGGCCTTTAGAGTAAGAAGCATGATGGATTGCGTAACGTCATGTGTATTGGATTGTTCATGTCAAGCCGTTCACTACTCTAGAGATGAATGTCGTCTGATGACGTATTATTACTATTATTTATTGAACTCCGTGATTGCTACACCTACTGATAGTTTGGGTGTCATTTATCATAAAAAGCGCGCCACAAACTTTTTAGGCAATTGAATAAGTCTCGATGATGATGCCCAGATGTCGATTGTCCTATCACTATTGATCGTAATGGAAAATGAGCTCACTCGTTCCAGCCATTTGAACTTTCATTTCTTTATAAAATTATGGTTGTCTTTAAATGTCAGCGCCCACCCTTCGTGGTTTTATTACATCAATGATTATCTACATCGCCATTCTTTTGAAATAATAAAAGATATTACATCGATAGCTGTATGTTGTATTAATGAGATTAAACAATTATTGTTGGTTATTCATGTTTATACGTTCGTAATTGGCGTTTGTAACTTTGTCAGGTAAGCTATGGTTTTGAATTATCCTATCTGGACATCTTTTTTCGTGGTTGAATTCACTTGAATTGATAGTATTTTTGTGGCGTGGCTTTTCCATGAGATTCTCTTACTGGTTGCTTTTGGTTTTTGTGTGGTGCGATTCTCTTGACAGTATTATTAGGTTGACCGTGTCCGTATTCAGAATGCAGTAGTAAATGTCAAACCTTTGCTTCTCTTACAATTCCAACTAAAATATGCGAATTGTCGACAACTAAAGATCAACCAACTAAAGATATTGTTGTGCTGTACACTCTCTTCCACACACGAAGCTTAGCATCATCGGGCAATGTATTGTACCAATGTTGAGGATAGCAGTTTTGTGATTTTATGAATCACAAATTTGATGTGACATGCTAGTAAACATAATATAACTGTTATTCATTGGCTTCGGAATCAACCGGACACAGAATAATTGGTTAGGGGGTGGGGGCACCTCCGAGAAAAGTGAGAAAAATCGGGGTGTCAGTGAAGATTTGTGACCTATATATGGACCCGAATATAACATTCAGTTTCATCAGCTACCATCCGATTATATACCGCAACCAACAGTTCAAATTTTCACGGGGCGACGGTAGATCGGTGAGTAAGACGTTTGCTCGCTTTCCTGGAGGTACCCCTCTCGATCTTGGCATTTTCTGGCGTGACTCGCCCTTGTCAGCGGTGCAGGATGGGGGGGGGGCTGGCAAGGGATAGCGTATAGTCGTTCGGATGGGACAAAAAGTAGAGGTCCCGTATACACATTAGCGTACACGTAAATGAATCCCTGGCATTTGGAATTCGATATAAGAGTAGGTCGTAGTGCCGCTGTCCTGATAAAGGTGCGTCCATAGCATACTGTATGACGTATGTCTGTCTTCATTGGTCCAGTCGGAGCAGAACAGTAGGACGTTAAACCCCGTTCATTACATTTTCATTTCAAATTTAAAAGTTTCACAGAAACAATAAAATGTAAATCTTTTATTCTGTTATTTAGAGGGGAACCGGTCCTTTAGGCACACCTGGATCAACTACTGTATCAATATACAGCAAAACTTTACAGATCATGTCAATTCAACCCCTCTTCTTCGAAACGCAAGAGGGAGGAAGGGAGCTGGCAGGGGGTGAGGGAGGGTGGGGGATACTAGGGATATCAATAACAGCAACTTTATTTGTGGGTACCGAGATAGAAATTAGATATGGAAAGTAATTGATGGTCTACCTCCAGACTTTCAAGCTTCCCCCTTGATTTTAAAAACCGAATGAGGTCAGTGCCCTAAATTGTTTGTACTACTTGATTTAGTCACTAGTCGCTGATTCATGAATCTGATTTTTTAAAATTTAAGAGCAATAGTGGCAACAATCCTAGTAATAATAGTTGACTGAGACTATTTCATAAGTCCATAACAAAAAAAAAACCAAACAATATCTGATAGTATTTCCGGTTTGGTGCCAATCAAATATCAAATAGTATTTCCCAGCCTTTAATATTATATTGTTTTCTCGTGTCTGATAGCACAAATAACTACTAGAGGCCAGAACAGAAAGCAGTCAACATATTCCAAATATCTCTGAACGATTGATATCAATTGGCTTCTAATAATTTCATAACTTCTTTAAAAAATGGAAATTCTTATAACAGTTTTGCCCCATATAGTCGATTTTGCTGTGACTGGTTTTGTGCTGGGCCGTCACATATTTGACAGACCGCGTTTACAAAACTAAATTATTAATGCATTTGAATGGTTATTGGTGTGTCACGTCACGTGGGTGGTTTAGAAAATAAAAGTAACTACGGATTAACAAAGCTGCAATGATAGTTTTATTGACAAATATGCGGCGAGGAGCAGAGAGAAAGAAATTACACATATACATTGCAATTAACAGAATAATTTGAGTCTGGTACAGTAAGGACTACTACGTTCATGAATAGGTCGCTTACAACTTTGATAATTTTAAATAATTATTCTATTTTTTTGTACCAGTCGAACCGAAGATGTTGTCAAAAAAAGTACAAAAAAATTTAAATAAATAAAAAAAAAAAAATCAAATTGAAAAATAGTAGTAAAATGATTGATACAAATGCTATATTCTACCCAGTAACCAATGACGCATTGACGTCATCACTGAAGGCAAATCCATTCGAATAGGCACGCGCAAACATGCGAACAGGATTTGAACTGTCCCATTCTCCATTAATAATACCCTATCATAAATACTATACGACTTACATTGTCATCATTACTCCTGAGAACGTTATTTTTTAAAAAGTATTTTTAATTGTTTCCTTTGGCAAGAAATAAATATTCAAATAAATAATAGTAAATAAAATCATATTATCACAATGATGTTGACAAATATAGCTTTATTGCACTTTTAGAATGTCACAATGAGGAAGATTATAAAACGATGGTCACAGGTAAACAAAATCTCTTCACGTTATCGTCACGTAGAAAATATTTCGAAAGTGTAGATACTGCTTGAATCCATCTAAAACTACCTTTAACCCAAAACAATGATCCATTATTATCAATCTTTTTGTGTTTTTTTTATTGGCAGTGATGCAAAAATTTGTGACTTCTTCCCCAAAAAATAAAATTAAAAAAAAACAAGGCACTTGTTGAATCATGTTCCAATAATAGAACTTCCGGTCTGTTGACGTCACACTTTAAAAGTCCAACACGAATCTTTGCCTAGTAACAATAACCATGACAACGAGACACGTGATAGTCCTTAGCATTTAGCCACATACCAAAATGCTTCACAAGGATAAATTGAAAGCAAGTTTCAACGCAATGCCATAATAAATATTAAAATAAAACTTTTTATAAGAAATAAGACGGGGTAGCGAGAACTTTATACAGTCTTAACAGTTTATTGTTGAAGCACGTTGACCCTGTAAAAAGACAAAAAGAACAAGTTGTTACGTATTGGAAGTTATTCAAAGTATCAGCAAAGCTACAAGATACATTGCTAGAGTTATTTTCCTTTACAATAACGTTCACATACATCTATAACTTTCTCAAAATGTCGATAGCATTGTCACTGTTAATGAAGGAAAGTTTAAATGATATTTATGAAAAACATTATTTCTCTACATGATATTTTAAATTATCTTTCTAATTTACTAGATAAGGGAGACATCCCTTTGAACAACGTTGGTAAGTTCTTATTACTACACACAAGCTTTGTGAATATGTAGGCCTACATGTAAGCAGGCGGCGGGCTCGAGGAGGGGTCATGGCGATAAAAGTAAGATTCAAGCAGACTCGATCGTAACCATTCGTGCCACCCTGCACGTTTCAAGTCAGTAGCTTGAAGCGTATATATGGTATTAGTGTCAGTGGCTTGTGGCACGAAGTAACAGTATATTGTCGCATACATAATATATTATGTCAACGCTTGGGCGACATAATATATTGTGTTGACGCTCCAAGCGTGTTAGCATATTAGACCTGTAGACTCAGTGGAATGTACGCGTCATCAGAGCCATAGAGAGTGTCCCTGTAAATAAAAGAGGGCATCCTTATCAGAAAAAGGGCACCTGTGATGTCAGAATTTCAAAAAAGGGCACTTTTCTTTCGGATTAGGGTTAGGGTTAGGGTTAGGACACAGAAAAGAGAGAAAAAACAGAAAAGAAAAAAACAAGCATTCATTGGTTATCAAAGCGCCAATTAAATCTATCGTTGCAAGTTCATGCCTAGTCACCTCCATCCTAGTTCCAAGCGTTGACATAATATATTATATCGCCCAAGCGTTGACATAATATATTATGTATGCGACAATATACTGTTACTTCGTGCCACAGGCCACTGACACTAATACCATATATACGCTTCAAGCTACTGACTTGAAACGTATCGCCTGTTCGTGCAGCAGCTTGTGGACCCCAGAAAGAAAAATATATGTTTGTACATGGCTTTTTAAAAAAACACTTTATGATATCTGAAAACCAATTTAAAACAAAAACAAACAGACAAGCAACTTAATTGAAAAAGTTGAGCGTTGAAAATGGTGATTAAATTTTGTAAAGCAAAAACAACAACAGAACGAAAAAAAAAACAACATACGAAAACATTTGGTGATCTTCAAGATACCTATGACAAGCAGAATGACTTCATTTTGGATTTGTAAGGTGAGGTTGTTTTATAATATTTGCGTTGAGGGAGTGGAAATTATTATAGGAGTCGGGAATAAGTGAAAGCTTGGTTAAAGTGACCCCTTGTAAACCACCTTGAATTGTTAGTTAATCGAACAACATTCACTTCCATGATGCACCACCCAAAATAATGAAACCATTCTGAACACAAAGTCAGTTGAGAATGAGTAAAATTTTTTAAAAAGTTTCAGAAATTTGGGTGGATTCTTCAATTCGTTTTACGTAAATTATTAATCTTGTTGAACCACAGAAAGTCGTTCAAATTAAATTTTGAAGCCTAGTCGTTATTTGATGGTGCATCATGTTTAACCACGAGGGTCATGGAATCACAAAAGGCAGATAAAACGTCAATATAACTTCTCAGTTTCTATTCAAGATTCATAATTCAAACAATTTGTATAAAGCAAATTTATCGAGAATTCTTCTTTTCGTGTGAATTTAAATTTGGATATGCAGAAATCTTCAACTATAAAATAATGAGCATGACTAACATTTGATTGAATCTTTCCATGAAATAGATAACCATGATAATAAATTGAGGTCTGGTATCATACTTTTAAGAAAGCAAATTTGGAAAGCAAATGTCACCAAAAAGTGCAAAATCAAAAAACAGGAAATGTTCCGGAAGTTTAAATCAAAGGTATGGGAAAAAGGGATATAATTTACTGCCGTTCTGACCCTCGTGTTTGAAGATCTAATCAGTGATTGGTTAGTTCTCTTTACATTCTCAACACCACTTCCCTGGTAACAGACATAGATCGTGCTCTTCGGACGGTGGTGAGGTTCTTTTCGGCAAGATCTGCTCGGTGTTCGGCTTCCTCAACCAAGGCGGTGGCTTTGCGGTATTTATTCAATGATAAGTTGGCAATATCTTCCTGTAATATACAAAGGCAAATACATATTAGAAAGGGTAGACTAAAGAGGGTGTCGGAGGTTAGAGTTAATGCCCCCTCAACAATTAGATGGTAATATATTTTATGCTGTACATGGATAAGGTTATTTCGCACCGGGTTAATCAGATAACCAAAGCAACCCATATCACATATGGAACTAGTCAATTTCAACTCTGCTCGCAAAGATGCCAACAACAATGGTGACCAGGTCAAGTTCCAGGTCTGTCGTGACAACACAAGATAGCAAACAAGGCCACTACTCTCGTTTCGTGTAAGATTGGATGGATTGTAGTCTTTACCCAAAAAAAAATTATAAAAGAAAAACAAGGAAATTGTACTCACGGCTTCATCGATCTGGCGTTTGTATTGTCTAACTTTGTTTGCCAATGTATCGTTCAAGCTGGACAACTCAGCAAGTTGTCGTCTATCATCCTCGGTCTGGATGACGTATTCTTTGTATACTCTCTCTACTTTACGTTGTGTTGCGACGGCTTCACGTGTTCGGCGCATTTCAGCTTCTAATTCAGCTTCGAGATCTCGTACCTAAAATGAAGTTGCTCAATTAGATAAAAAAATATAAAATATAGAAATCGAGACAATATTGAGTGGACTTCCTGAATGTGGGGAGTACCTGATTGTAAAAAAAAAATCAGTACTCAAGTTAGGATAGTAGTATCATACGTCCTAAGAGAGTAAGCAATAACTTCCTCAATAATCGATAATGAACACTGATAAATCAAGTAGGAGTTGTATCTAAGAAGGGTTGATGAAAAAATATGATTCACATACTCGGCCTTGTAATTTGGCAACCATTCGCTTTCCTTCACGGAGGGCGTAGGCTTCAGCTTCTTCCAATCGGACGGTGATTTCACGGATTTCGATTTCAAGTTGTTTTCGAAGGCTTTCAGCGTTCTTGTAGTTTTCTTGTTCTTGTCTGAGTTCATCAGCCAAACGGCCAACCTCGTTCTGGAGACGATCAGCACGTTCTTCAGCAGCTCTCTGGGCATTAATGGCTTCATCCAAATCGGATTGCATGGCGGCGATATCAGCTTCCATTCGGCGTTTGTCGTTGGTGAGGGCTGTGACTTGGATGTTGATTTCGGTAAGACGAACGGTGACGTCATTGAGTTCGGTTTCAGCGTTCTTTCTTGCTCGCTCGGCCTGTAATAAGAACAAGTGACTTTTTAAAAAGACGAATTTCACATCTCCGTTTCAAAAGTAAGACGTTTAATAAAGAACATAATGTCTATATAAGAAGTCGGAATGAGTCAGTTTCGATATACTTACATTTTCGAGGAGAGATCGGCAATCTTCCAATTCTTGGTTAAGAGCAACTCGTTTCCTTTCGGAGACGGAGAGTTGACCTCGGAGATCATCGGCGATGCGGCGCTCATCATCCAAAAGACTTTCCAATTCCTGTAGTGGCAAAATAAAATCAACGATTAATAAAATCAACACGAATTCAACAAAATCAAACAATCGGAAATCGGGAATCAGAAAAATGAGTTTTATTAAATTGTCCATGTTTTACTTAAGCCATGCAGTATAATTCGCTATAATCTACTTTTATTGTTGTTTTGCTGATCTTGTTGAAACAAGAATCTACCGAGTTCTAAGAATTCCTGAGAGTTGGCTGTATAAGGCTACACGGCAGCCAGAGTCATATCTGATATACAAATACTTGAGTTGGTGCCAAAACACGCGAGAGCGCATGTCATCAACTTGCTGATTCGTGAGATAAAACGCCTGCCAAGTCTTTCCAAAATAAAACAATTTATTTAACAGGCGCTTGAAATAAATTACAGGCTTACAGTTTTCTAATTATTTTATTGTCAGAAAAAAAAAGACAAAGGATAAACTGCCAAATTTGTAAAACTCCATTATTTGCAAATTTTCGACCTTGGAATTTTATTTATGAATCATTGTGGGATTACGTTATCCTATACTGTCATCCATTTCAGCATCGCCTGATTAAGCACTGATCATGATGAATTGTTTCTGGTGGCCAGGCGTTAAGATCAATTGTTTCTGGCGTTCCAGCTTTCCGGTGGCGTTCATCTGAAAGATGTCTCAACTTCTTGTTTGTGTAATAGTTAGGATGTGACTATGGTATAACCACCTGTACATATCATGGGTATATTCGTCTCTGCACGACTCTTGCCATGATAATTAACTACTATACGCGCTTATAAGCTTCGAATGTCCCAAAAAAGACATAGGAGTTCCGATAACTTTTACAGATACAACATGTTCCCGGTTTTTTCAGAATAAAATGAAACCATACCTTGACACGGGCTTGGAGAGATTTGATTTGTTTAAGATATTCAGCATTGGCTCGGTTGGCATTATCGAGGGCAGCTTCGAGTTCACGGATGTCAGCTTCATACTTCTTCTTGATTCGGCTGATTTCGGTCTTGTAGCGGGTTTCGACTTCGATCAGAGTCCTCTGCAATTCTTCAATAGCACGGGCACTGCTTCTCCTGTAAATGTAAATGAAAACAGATTTTAGTTAAATTTTAAAATGACCTGAACCATCTACTGACTTTTACTTGCTTCCTGCACTGCTACATGATTTATTATCTGACAATATGGTGAGGTTAATCTAGAGTTTGAAAGTCATATGAACCGATTATTACGGCAAGTTTTTGAAAAATTTCAGTGTGGGACTTGGTGTTTCAACCTGTTTATTTGTCTAGTGAGTTGTGTTTGATGCTATGCCCTGCATTTACTAGATTGTTAACGGTTATGAATATATTAACCACTGTTGTTTTTTTTTTTTAAATGTTAAAATATTATTGGTACCAAATGGTGCCATGGTCGCTACTTGGAGGTATAACACTTGGTTCTTTATAATAAGAGTTCTATTAATGTATTTCACCGCTATAGAAAGGTGGTTGTTTATGATAAGGTTATGATCGATGTATATGACCGTTGTTGATATTTACTCTAAGGTTATACAACTCTAGGATATCCGCCTCTACCCGTCTCGCATGGTCGTGTGGGTAATATAATAGCGTATATACTATCGATGGTAATATAAACAACATGTTAGATAGCCAACCTTAATGCCAATAGTACCGCATAATCAAAGGTCAAACAGAAAAAATTGAAGATCATAGGTATTATTCCACCAGATCCGAAAATAACACAACCGGATATGAGGCCATTAGTGAGAAATGCAATAGAATGTAAATCAATGAATCGTGTTATATTTAGGTTACGGTGTTGTTTGGGTGTTAATCACATTTTGACATGGCCGACCTCTATGCTCCGTACGGGCCAGGTAAAGCGGTCTGTGGACCATATGTCCATTGCTAGAATGTATCATGAGGATGTGGTATGCTTTGATTATATATAAATCACTGTTTGAACTACATGACTTTTGGTATGTATAGGTTACAGTACACGGATGTTGGTTATGGTATGGTATATTGCGTATGTTTACTCAAAGAATGTTGTTATTAACGTCCAGTAACCGCCCACGTCTGATTTATCATGTTAAGAACTTCTTGGTTGCGTTTGGTATAGACGACACTTAACACTACATAGCCTGTTACTTTAACATGTTATAGGGGTAAAGTTCGAGTATTGCTACAATGATTTGCCATTTTGAATTTATAGATTTTTAATTTGACTTCCAGTTTGGATCAGTGGCGTACATAAAGAAGTGTAGGACTGTTATGATTGGGGTAAATTTGAGAAGAACTTGCATGATGTTTATTTTTACAGTAAGATAGCGTGAATGACCACAAGATTTACCTGATGTTATCAATTTCTTCATCCTTAGCTCTAAGTCTGTTCTCCATTTCAACACGGAGATTGTTGAGGGCAAGATTGGCAGCAGCCAATTTGTTTTCGGCGTCCTTAAGGGCATCTTCGGTATCTCTAAGGGCAGCAGCAAGAGAATCTCTCTCTTGTTCAAGTTGGGCACGGATGGCTCGGAGTTCGTTGAGTTCCCTGTTGGCGTCCTTGAGAGCGAGATTAGCTTCACGGAGTTGGTCTGTAATAAAGATTAAATATGGCTAAATGTTTTGCGTTTGTTTTCTTATTTATTGCCCTTTAGAAGCATATACACAAGACATTATGATGAGGTATTACTTGCTTTATTAAACCTAATAGTACAAAAACAAAACAAATCATTGACCTACCAGCGAGTGTTTTGTTTTCACGTTGGAGAGCTTCATTACGTTCAGTAAGTTCAGCATTGGCAACTCGCATCCTGTATAACTCTTGTTCAAGGGCAGCCTTCTCGCCTCGAAGGGCATCATTTTCTTTCGAAAGTTCATCAACTCGTCTCTGGAGATTGGCATTGTCATTCTCCAATTGTCGGTTCCTCTTGGTAAGATCCTGGACAATGATCTGGATCTATAATAGAAGACGAAGAGAAACAATAAGTGCTTTGAAGATTACGTCTAACAGCAATGTCAGAAGTTACTTTCCGTGTATTTAAAATGCTGTATGGTGCAGATTTTGAAAATATAAGATCACATAGCTATAGCCACTTACATTTTCCAATTCAATGGTGACTTCTTTAAGTTCCATTGTGAGCTTGGATTTCGCTTTCTCCAAGTTGCTATTTCTGGCACGGAGTTGCTCACATTGGTCTTCCAAGTCTTGGATTCGGGCATTAAGCTTACGCCTATAATGAAACAATGGGTGTTTATGATTAAAATCAAAATGTAGACGAAGATGGCATTGTTACTATCTGGCATAGTTTATAGATCACATTTCTAATATGTATATGAGTATTTATCATGTCCTTGACTATGAACTGTGAATTAACTTGCCTATTTTCTACTTTAATAATTAGGGTATTGACTTGAAGCATTCTTACCTAGTCTCCTCGAGTTCCTCTGTCTTGGCAATCATTTCTTTGTCGAATCGTGTTTTAAGAGCAGTGTATTCAGCCTGTACTTTGACGAGCGTGGTACGAATAGTTGTGGAAGTTTCAACTTCCTCCTCATAACGGACGTTCAAGTTATCAAAATCAGCCTGGAGACCCTGGAGTTGGATCTGGAGATTCTGTCGTTGCTGTAAATTATTAAAGAGTAATAATTAATTTTGTGTAATTTGATATTCAACTCTATTCCATGACATGATATCTATGGTAGTTCAGCATTTCAACATGTCAAGCTCGGTTGATTGATGTAATGTTACACTTCCATAAAGCCAAAATTAGTCTCTGCATAACGTTATAAACAGTCTCTGCATAACGTTATAAACAGACTTGTAGAAAGATAAAAATATTCTAGTCCCTATAGAACGCTATAGCTAGATTTTACTGTACACGACTATACTTACTCTGCTCTCATCATCAAGGCTTCTCTTGAGGTCATCATTGGAGGCCTGGAGCTGGGCTTTGGCTTTGGCAAGAGCGGCATTGTTGGAGTCGAGTTCCTGAACTTGATGTTGGAGGTCGAAATTTTCTTGGGTCAATCTAGCTTTGAATCCAGAGAGATCGTTGACTTGACGGGTTAGGTCATCAACTTGGCCCTTGAGTCGCTCACAGCTACCGGCAAGAGCATCAGCTTTGTTTTCAGCTGAGGTCTGGAATAGAAAAAATGATAATTACATTATATTATATGTTATATACAATCCGTTGGTCGTATGAATTGGCTGGTGGTTACATTACAATCTGATCAAAATACAGATCTATATTTCGTTTCGTTTTCATTATACTTTTGATGGCCTACACTATATGAGGGTCTGACAAGTTATACTCGAAGGTCGTGTCAGGGGTCGTACGAGTGGCTTTTGACCCTATAAAGTCAGACATTGATTGATCAATCTGCGTTGACGTTTCTAGTGGTTTACCAAGAGTTCTAACGTATCGGGCTGGTCACTTTTTGTGTGTAATAAAGAAACACAAGAAAGTGGCATTTAACTTACCTTGGCCTTGGAAAGTGAGTCCATAGTGCCCTGGAGACCGTCAATTTCAATAATAAGTTGGTGTTTTTCTTTCTCTACCCTGAAATTAGATTCAATTACAAATAAAAACCTGATATTTAGAAAATATATGGTTCATTTATATTTTATTCGTATTAAAGCCGGCTTAAAGTATTTACCTGCAAACAAGTTCATATTTTATTGCAATGGAAAGGTGGCTCAACCACATCTACATCCTTTAAAACATCATCTTTTAATAGTGTTTGCGATACGTACCTATTTTTGGCTTTGTTTAAATGTTCAAGTTGGTCAGTGAGATCAGCCATTGCCTGGTTGTGTCGTTTTCTCATACTCTGTTCAGCTCCCTCGTGGGCAATGTTGACAATTTCAAGATCTTTCCTCAATTTAGCGAGTTCAGATTCCCTCTTTTTGCTGATTTCAACCTGGAAAAGTCAAGACGTAACGTTGATGCCTACTAACAATATGACAGGGCAAAGAGTAGGTGACCATCTACCTTTGAAGTGTGGTTGAAAAGATTTAACCGCGGGTGTTTGGGGGAACAATAATTCAGCACCTTGGATGAACGATATTAAATCAAATTAAAACCGGAAGTATCAAAAGCAAACAGATTAATGAACCGGGTTTATTTTTAAACTAACATTATTTTAACATGGCGGAAATATGCCAAATTCCAATTCTGTTAAAGACAGGGTAGTGGAAAGTAAAAATTATCCATTAGTTTCAGCTGTCATCATTGCAAAGGAAAATCTCTATCTTAACATCCATGAGTTGCCTACACAAAGTACCGCTGGATTCAATTAAGTTCAACTTACCTGGGCTGATGTGGCACCACCCTGTTCTTCAAGTCTGTCTGAAATCTGGTCATATTGAAACTGGGTCTCGGCGAGGAGTTTCTCAACCTGTAAATAAAATAATCCAATCAATATACGAGACATAGAGAGACAATTAGTTTCAGTTCTTTCTGTTTCCCGCCACGTTGGTTACACATCACTTAAAACAAATAGTTGTAGTATTTGCTATATATATATATAGGTAAATGCTTATTAAATCTTTGTTCAGATCAGTACAAGTCAACATGGTAATAGATCAATGGATATCAAAAACATTAAATATGAATTGTATTTATTAGTGTCATTGTTAAAAATGTCCATAGACTGAACAGTCGTTATAATCTGATATCATCAGAAACTTCAAACAGTGCTATAGTCAAACGCTGACTGTACTGTAGTAATATGAAATAAAGTATTAAAATGGCATACTTACTCGTACTCGGTGATCTCTTTCGAAGTCTAAGCTGTCTTCGAGTTCTCGGATTCTAGCCTAAATTTAAAATAAAAAAGAAATAGTAATGCTTATCTACCATGAAATTAGTAAAAATAGCACATAATCAAACAGTTATAATAAATTACAAATTAGGTCCATTAATATATTCGTTGAAATTGGGAACATTAAGAACCGCTTTGATGGTTGAACAATGTGTAAGTATTTGTTTCGCCATGGTCGATGTTGATGAATATTTCTTTAATATGAGTTAATACTAATAATTAATGAAATATGTATACATACATATATTCAATAAATATAGCAAGCAACAAAGATGAAGAATTATTGGTTTATAAATAAATATTAAACATATAAGAATAATAAGGCCATGCCAATTTATATGTCTGTTCTTGAGTAACACTTATTACAAATTATGTCTCCCATTTCTTCAGAAAAAGAAAACACTTGAAAACAAAATGTTGTTAAGCTTATAGTTCTAAATGTTTAAATTTTGAGAGTTTTACAAAACACCACACAAGTATTGGGGTGATCTGAGTTATTTATTAAGACTTCGAAGAACTAAAGAAAAAATAAAAAAAAATAAACATTCTCGTGCAATTTGGTTTCCCGCAAACTTTGGTATGATTAATCGATCGAAATTCGGGGGATTCTACGCGAATAAGGTTGGGTATAGCAGGTAAAATATAGAGGGTGCAGGCTCGCAGCAGGATTTGGTCGAATTGGGTGACTAATCGTCTAAGAAGGTCGCTTGCGATCTTTGAATAGGATGTGCAAGGTTTGGAAAAAAGTGAGAAAAAAAAAATGCAAATAAATCCAGGAAAACTTTTTATGTTTCTAAAATTCAGAATTTCGGATAACATAATGTACAACTACTTCACACATAATGAACGCGCATGACGTCACATCCGTAAAGTTTGGGTTCACACCTGTATTATATAATACCTGCAATCTATTTTCTTCATGTTCAAAAAAAGCTTTCTCCGTCTTTACAACACGCGAGGATGTGGCTGTCTCTGATTTACTCTGTGGAATAACGTGTTAATAACATTATAATAAACAAACATTTGACTTATAAACAGAACATAAACATTTAAATGACAAGCACATGATCGTAGTCGTTCGGGTGGGACGATAATCTAAACATAGATTAGTAAAACAAAACATTACATGACAGTAACTTTCTAAAGCCTTTGCACAGTATTACAGGTTTTTTTAAAAGTTTATTTGATTTTCACGTGTAGCCATTTTATATACCTTTATTCTTTTCGCCGTAAATAAATTTGATAAATTAAAGCTTTGAGCCATTTTGTATAATATAATATAATATAGGATATAAATTGGTTTGTGTTTTACTTAATTCATTTTTGGAAAAGTACGAAATGTTTTTAAACATGTAAACTATGAATATGTATTTGATCTTAAGCCAAATTAGAGGCAGTAATACGTTCTAATCAGTTCTCGGCATGGTGATCTAAGCTATTACCGTAATGAGCACTGTTCAGAAAGTGGTACCTGGGGCAGACTGATATGAAAACACGCTATGTAATAATATTATTTATAGTCTATGTGCTTCAGTACTACACGGTGTATAAAGTATACACTATACCATATGTTATGAAGTAATTGATATACCAGTGTATGTTTCATGTCTTACAACATCTATCGTATACTTAAGTGTAGGCCGTTATACTGTTATTATTAACTTGATATATTCTAGAAGCTAAAACATGGCTAATATAAACATCAAAGAAGTGATAATTAAAACAAAGGGATTATTTCATTATCTTAACCCGAATAACTCACAATGTAACAACTGGTATGTTGATTTTAGTTCATCTAAACCCGAATGACTCTCGTTAAATTTATCAAATTCTAGAACGGCTTGGTGCCAAAATTTTATCGGAATTATTCACTTTTAATCTAATATGAACTAAGTTTTACTGATTCAGATGTTTGTAAATAGAATTATTTACGAGCTAAGAATTTAGTCGCCTTGGATACCTTGAATGCCACAGGTATTCACGAGTGCTGCACGCGCCACGCGTTTTCCATAAAAGGAGCCGGCTGTGCTATTTATAGTAACCATTAACAGACTGTAGAACTGTAACAAATCCGATCTGCTGTATCGACAATAAACATATTACACGTCTCAACAATTTTTTGTTATGCCATTAAAGATAATCAGAATTTATTCTGTCACTAATTGTGTTCGTGCCAATTCCTACAAAATATTTGGCTTCGGCGCACTAAAGATTTTTTGAGACTGTCGGCCAACTGTCACATTCCTACAAAAATACCGATGAAATATTCTAAAATAATGTCTGTGTATATCAACGAATAAATAGGGCTTCGAGATCTTCCGAGTCTAAATAAATTTATTCGCTTTTCAAAGAAGTATTACAATCGGTTGTCGTGTATAAAATTGGTTTCCGCATCAATTATCATTATCAGATAAATGTACGTAGACTGGTATATGATTTCATAATATTTTTATTCCAAGATAATAATTAACTGACGCATGCGCCACCTTTAAATAATATTAAAACAATACTTAGTCAGCAGACGTATTCTTACCCATTTCTTTGTTATACGTACATACGACTGTGAAGAAAAGCGGGGTAATTATTCTAAAATTAGATGATAGTAACGCTACACCAATAGATGAGAATAGATAAAAATATAAATGGCACCGTGCCATAACACGGATGCCCAAAAGCGGCGAAGCATATGTAGAGTAGGTTGATATATCCCATGGGCAATAGAAACAACTTCTACTTTTCAAAACTATAAATTCATTTTAAACAAATAATACCTATCGAGATTAAAATAATGCCTCTTAGCGTTTTAATATTAGCCAGTTTTCTTGCCATCTTTGATATCATAAACAAGTTGTCAAGTTTTACCAAATGTTCCGAGTCAACGATTTGATAATTTTGTCGATTTTAAAATTTACTCTATTGATTCACAATATGCATTTGTAATTATACAATAAAAATTCAGTGTGACAATCAAATGGATAATTTAGCATTTTAAAATTTAAAATTTTGAAACCAGTTTAGTAAACTATTTCTTGATTTAGATTTAACTTGTGGTTTAGACCTATTCTGTTATCTTATTAAGGAATTTTAGTTCTTGGTCGTTTAAGTGAAAGATTACTAAATATATCTTCGGAACGAGGTGTGTTGAATTCTCTTCGGGGAAATTATACCTAAACTACTGGATTTATTACGACAAAAATAGTTCGGCCATATTGATTTAGTTGCTAACGGTAACTAAACTGATGTAGGCGGCACGTGCCATGTTGTTTATGGAATAAGATCGGGTTTCAATAAGAATTTAGCGGGAAGGGAAGGTATGAAGATATTCTATTTGCTATGCTATCAGTAGGTAGTTATAACTACCGGTCTATCCTTACTAAATATCTCCCACCATCTGTTTTTACTCTTTCTATGTTCTTGACTTATTTATCTCTAGTTTTATATACAAATCTCACTCTTCTTGAAATAGAAAAAATTACAAATATTCTTTAACGACAGACTTATTACAATAGTTGCATTCATTCTTAGTGTACAGGAATACCGTAGTTAACTAAGTCATCTTCCCAAGAAAATGAGAGGTTTATTAGGTGTTATGGAACGTATCAGCATACGTATTACGTGCACGATACCTAAAAGTTAACTATCGATGTTATTATTGAATATGATTCAGATTGCGTTATGATGTCTTGCCAATTATTAAACAAATTGATTAATTACATTTATTAAATTAATTAATTATTTAGACATTTTGCAGAAGCGGATTTTGTTTGAGATGGTTTTCTTTGCAAGAGACTAGTTATTTATGATATTGGTACCTAAGTGTAGGTGGAACGTACTTTATATCAGCAAATTCCTAACTAATGAGTCACTCGAAGACGATCTGACATTCCTAAATATATATGTATATATTAATATGTCAGGTGTTGTATGAATATATAGATATGGCGGGTTGCAAAATACCATGAAAACGAGAAAGTTCGAATCGCGCTTATCTGAAAGAAAACAGATTACCATGTATACCTCTAACACACCGTGCATTTCTTTTACTCTTGACCCTTTTCATTTTATTCATTTTATTTTCCTTCGTGTGAATCTATAATAAGTTTTAATGAAATTCTGAAAGTTTAAATCATTCAAATAAAATCTAAGTTTATAATTATGTTTCTAATTTATTTGACAGCTGTTTTGAAGTTACAACAACTTACTGACTAAACAAATAGCGGAACGTAAGCCTATTGCATTATGTATCACGTGATAACACGACCTTGGGAAAGGTTAAAATGTGTTTGTGTTCTATGTAAAGATACATTGTTGTTCAGGTAACACGATATGGTATCTATATGGTCATAGAACAACGGTACGGTAAAGTCATTTTTATACCGAAACGTTTAATTATGTGGTTTTGTATTAGCCCGGATTTAAAAGTTTGACAGAAACTACAGAAGTTTCCTAAACAATGAAATATTAATTAATTAACATAAATATTGAACTTGGCTACACAAAAATCTAGTGCGCTAGAGAGGATTCAAATAAGCAAGCTTTAAACAAAATAAAATTAAACTAAGCATAAGAAATGTAGTTAAGGCGAAGAATTACTAATTAATTAATTAATTAACATTACTAATTAATTACCATTGCATAACAATTAGAGACAACATTTGAACAATAAATAATTAAGACTTTTATCACCACAATTAATAATTGCTAACTGCATGACAATTTCAGAAACTGTTGCCCTGTTGATTTTAAGGTAATTCGGGATGGCGGTGGGCTTCTTTATATCTAATTCAGGTGTTTTCTCAGTGACACAACAATTTGTGCATTGTGGCATCTTTATTTTGTTGACTCAGCAAAAAATAAAAACACATAAGCACATTTTGAGAATTTGGCAAACAAATGCGATTTTCTTCATACCAGCTAAATCTGCTTTCTCAAGGTTGGACAATATTCTTTAAAGGTATAGTCATCATCTGACCACTGTGACCTTTCTGATAATACACAAGTTTGTCCTTCCTAGCATTCATCGCATTAAATCCAGTTTTGTTGAAATTGTCTTGAAGATAGCACACAATAAATAAACACACGATAATAACAATGAAATTATTTCAGAACCTCTGAAAACTGCCTAACATAAAGTGTTCAGTTTAGGTATCCCGTGTGGGAATTCTACATAATATAATAAATTTAATAACTCAGAAACCTTTAAATTTATCACTTTACAGCACTAAAAATTTCCTTTCCGACACTTTATGATTAGCAGTATAATAAGTTTGTTAGTAGTCTCATTTAAATAATTATTTAGTACATGATTTTATGAATAATTTGTCTTAATTAATGCCTACCTCCAGCCTGTTCTGTGTGGCAGGGGATGTTCCGCGGTACACGTTGTACCTTTGTACGGTACGAACGGTCCTAATGTTGGAATCGTAGTCATCATAATTCAGGGACATCTTTGTTTAGTATTATATCCACAGATTTTACAGAAATAAATGCTCCACCGAAAAGCTGAGAATGAGTGTAAACCCTCGTTCCGGACCAGCAGCTTAAAACTATACCACTACGCTGGTTGCAGTCTACTTTGAACGTCCGCTAGAGTTTCTTTAAATACTCCTACCTTTACCCTATATATACCACCATTTACCGCTAGGTGGCGTCGTGCTGCCTAAAAATTGTTCGCCTGTTGGTAATTTGAGACGGCAACAGTCAAAGATGGTCACCCGCCTCCCTATCTTTCGTTATCTATTAGAGATTCTCTTATACAGAGTCTATTCCAAAACACCATTGGTGCTAGGGGAGAAAAGCGCGTGCACGTGTTAATTGGTAATTAACATCTTGAGTTTTATTTTCTTTTTTCTCTGTTCAGTTTCTGCTCTTAGGGCCGACCTTCATGCTCCATATAAGGAAAAAGGGGAATGCCCAGAGTTTGTGAGTAATACGCGGCTTCGAGTGACGTATAACGTTAAAAGCAATGAGTTTCTAGCGATTTACCTTACAACTATGTGAGGCCTAATATGTCCCTAGCAACGGCTTACGTATCTGAACGTGCAATAAGTAACAATGCTGAGGATGAAAGTTTACTGTGGAAGCTAAAAATGGCTTGCAGTTATCTACTACAATACAGGCATAAACGATGACTTAATGCCAAATTGCTTTATTCTTAGAAATTGAAAAAGAAGTTATTACACAGATGGCTTAATTCTGGTATAAATTGTGAGTTATTAATGTCGACATTAATTGTGTATCAAAAGCGGACCTTGAAGGTTAGGGGCGAAATTTGTCAGGTGTATGAAAATAGCCATCAAAGTTAACAGCACATAGCGGATGTGAATAGTGAGTGAAAGGGGGCGGGATTGTTGATGATGATGAGCGATAAACGAAGCATTATAAATAATGTAGCCCGCTTTCTGTTAATACGATACTCTTAAAAGCTCTGATTGTCCAGAATTTATATTTATATTCAATGTAAATAAACATTCCACTGCGTCTTGATCGTATGAGACACAATATGATTAAGTCTTATCGAATTCATTGAGAAATATCAAAAAATAACTTAAGGCTCAAATATACGAGGAAAATAGACCTATTATTATGAATTGACATTTTGATGATATGTTTATGAAAGGTGTTTGAAATAGCTTTATTTAAAGTTTATGAAAAGGTTTACATGCTTATAGTTTATAGTCTAAGAAAATAAGAGGCAAGGAAAAGGTGTCTAGTCATTCGTACGGGACGACAGTATGTGTATGCATTGGTGCGCATGTAATAGGTCCAATGACAGTTGGAATGCGATAAGGAGCAGTTGGAAACGACGCGGCTGTCAGAACAAAAAATGTCCCACAAAGCACACTTCGTGGTGTTTGACGGTCTTCATTAACACGGTGTATGCTGACAAGTAGATTCTTAAACCCCATGACATTCATTCATAACGTTTAATGTTATATAATAACTTTATTCTCTGTTATGAATTGATATTATTAGATAGATGTACAAAACAGATATGTATACACTGTGATATGATGTATAGAAGATTTTGCCGTACAAGTGTTAGAAATGAACTGGGGTTTAATTTCTTACTGTTATGTTCCGACTGGGCTAATGAAGACGGGCATACGCCATACAGTGTGCTATGGGTGAAATTTTGACCGGACAGCGGCGCTACGGGCTACCCGAATTCCAACTGCCAATGTCACGGGACTTCAGTTTTCGTCCCATCCGTCGACTAGACAGCTGTCCTTTCAGCCCCCCCCCCCCTGTGCTGCACCATTGACAAGGTGAAGCCACACCTCGGCGACCTCCAGACTAGCGAGCCAGCGTCTTACTCATTTACCACTGTGGCTACCACACAAGTGGTGGACTTATGGTATCACAAAATATGATATGGGAGGGGAACATTTTAATGTTATATGTATAATAAATTTATTGATTCCGTTCTGCCATGGTGGCTCGGGGAGGGGGGGTGCACGGTGGCTAAGTGGGTAAGACTCTGGCTCGCTAACCTGTTGGTCAGGTGTCCGGTCCCTGCATTGGCCGAGAAAGTTCATCCAGATATTCTGGCGTGGTTCCCCCTTGTCAGTGATGTAGGACGGAGGGCCTGACAAGGACAACTGTCTAGTCGTTCGGATGGGACGAAAAACAGAGGTCCTGTGTACACCTTGGCGTGCACGTAAAAGATCCCTTGACAGAATTCGATATAAGAGTAGGTCGTATTGCCGCTGTCCGGGCAAAATTTCCCTCATAGCACACTTTATGGCGTATGCCCGTCTTCATTAGCCCAGTTCGGAACATAACAGTAGGACGTTAAACCCCATTTCATTTTCATGGTGGCTCAATGATTATCCGGGATGTTGGATACCGATGTTGCCCGAGAGAGTTCCTCGGGTTTTTCAAAATGGTTTATTGCCTTGCCAGTGGTACAAAAAGGAGGGGCGGGCAAGCAAAAGCGCGTCTATTCATCTGCGCCTATTGCAATGTCTATGAAGTTTGTCTTGTCCGCAGCTTGGTCTTGTCGGTAGTGTGGTCTATATAAACAGCACATTAAAAGATGCCACGACAGTTGGAAATATTGTCATAGCGCCACTGTCCTAGCACACGACACGATGTTTACTCGTCGTTCTTATATCATTACATGTAAAATACATGAAATCTTTATAAAACTGTCATAATCAGATTGTACTAATATATTTTGGGATATTGCCGAGTCTGGTTCGGTGCGATATTTCAGTATTTCCTCTACCCTAGGCGGTGTGAATGCATCCTGGCTATCTTAGTAAACATTCTAGTTTGATGTTTGATTGACATGTTTTGGCCTTTAAGTTTATGTTTCATGTTAAGAGTTCTTCCGATCTCACAATAATACAGATGTTTTATTGTCCTATTTCTCTGTACAGACCGGCGTTTCATCCTACTCTTCATCAAAATCTTTAACGTACACTCAACGTATACACGTGACCTCATTTTTCGTCCCGTCTTACCGACTAGACATTTGGAAGCTGACATTTGGGACATTCGGAAGAGACGAAAAACCGAGATTCTTATAATTACAAAATATCCCTTAAAACATGTGCGCCTCTTCATGTGGTTTAACGTCCTACTGTTCTGCACCGACTGGGCTAATGAAGACGGGCATACACAACACATACGGACAACTCTTATATCGAATTCCAACTGTCATGTGTTCTTTTAAGTGCACGCCAATGTGTATCCGTCGCCAGGCCCTCCGTCCTGCACCACTGGTAAGAGGAAAATCCCAATTTACTTTCTCGGCCAACACCGGGAACGAACACGGAACCTACAGGTTATCGAGTCAACGTCTTACTCATCGAGCCACCGCGGCTCCCTTCGGTTGGTACGGAATACCAGAATAAATGGTGTTTAATGTCTTGACAACACAATATCACGACTATTTTTAGACGTATATACTGTAATTTTATCCTGTGTTATCTGTGAAATGGAAGCTACTCATCCTTGAATTACGACTGTGGAATGATTCTTGATATTCATCAGAAAATTTACGTTGGCATGGTTTTATCTTTCCATCCGAATAACTAGACACAATATACTTGTCGGGTCAACAACTGGTTAGTTTTAAAATGAATTCAAATGAAATGGGATTTAACGTTTAGCCTACTAATAATTCGATTCCAACTGTTGGGGATCTTTAACGTTCTACCAATGGTATACCTCGGCCTTTCGTCCGATCCGAACGACAAGACGATTTTCATTGCCAGGTCATACACAATTGGCATGGGAGAACCGGGGTGGAAAATTTCGACGTACTTTTCTCAAACACCCCCAGGATCAAACCGATAGGCCTATTCATAACTCAAAGGACTTTAAATGGAAGAAGGGTAAATTGTTTAAATTTGCTTAGCAAGCTACGGATTTCAATCCAAGACAACCTTGGAATTTTTCACTAAGCACATTCCAAAATATATTTATAAATAACTCGAAATAACTTGGTTTGGCTTTAATTCAAATATTCCACAGATAAACAACGGTTTCAGTTTATTGTGTTTGTTATCTAGAAGCTGTCGTATAAAACTTTATATATTCACATGGTAAATTAATCACTTAATTTACATTTTAAGATATTTTTCAATACTGTACGCTTATAAACGGTAAGCAAACATATGTATAATATTCATAATCACAACGAGACAGTGAACGTACAACTCGACAAAACGAAAAAGTCTAGTCGTTGGGATGGGAACTAAAGATGGGATCTATACCCTTGTACTCGTCGGAAACACCGCAGAGCACCAGCGCATGGCTTGGACATGTACCTTCATTTTCCCGTTTGGTGGAAAACAATAGGATATTAAACTCCGTTTATATTGTCATCATTTAGTTGGTTAAATGCCGACCTTCAAGAGCTACCTAATAATTAGAGACCGCCATTATGGACAAGCTGCTTTACAGCGATATCCTATTTTTAAACATACATTATGCAAGAGCTAAATCTGCCTATTGCAGGTCTTTCTTTAGGCCTGAAATGTTATCTAAATTATTAATAAGACATTAATTAACTTATCTAGACCATAATCAACTCTAGATGCATCGCTAGCCTGCGACTTTAGTGGATTATGAACCGATTTACTGATTTACTGCATAACTTTCCTTCCCGATTTAACGATTAAATGGATAATCGAGACTATGCTGTTTATCGTACTGACTTTTGTAATGATGATCAAGGCTAGCCGGAAATTTCAACCTTATAGTTCTCGGTTCATAGTGGATCAATTTGAATGAAATTTTCAGCAAATTGCCTTTACATTATCAAGTTTTTAACTATTATAGTGAGAACTGCAAACTCGTTATCTAATCTACCATAATGTATCTTTAATTTATCAGATAGTATCGTACCTTATTTTACAATAGGTAGTCGTTCCCGTGTACACATTGGGATGCTTGTAAAAGATCCCTTGGCAGTGGTAATTCTATATAAGATTAGGCCGTAGTATGCACATCTTCATTAGCCTATATAACATTAGAACGTTAAACCCCGTTGCATTTCATTTATTTTACCATAGTGTTTTAAATGGATTGAACCGAACTTCTGACGACGGTAATGTTGATACAGTTTATAAAAATATAATTTCGTTTCGTTTTTT